CCTTTCTAAGTTTCTGTGCCTTTTAGAACGGATGAAATCTATTATTTGTGCCTGCCGTTCGTAATCAAAATATGAAAACATTTGTTCATTTCATATACTTGCAGTTTTATCAACAAGTTATCTCTGGTGAAGAGAAAAGAGTCCGTTTAAGCTCATATAATGGTGATATTTACGAAGGGAGTGGAAATCGAAAAAAAAAAATGTTATTTGTTTGCTGCGCCAAGGCTCGACAAAGACTACTTAAGGCGATGCATTGGGAGCGTTGAAAATGTAATATTTGAGACCGTTCAACATGATCGCCTCATTAACACATTTTCTTGTATGAAGTCTTTGCGTTTGCTTGTACCTGTTACTACAACTGCTAACTTTAATTTCTCAAACAGCTGTATTTGTTTACCCGAAAGCGTTTTCAATGAAATCCACTGGTTTATTTTATTTGTTTTTTTATAACTCAGTTATTTGAAACTTTCACAGGCACATGAAAGTTTACCTAATATGTATTCCACCATGTGCATCACGTTAGCTTATGCCAATAATCAGGTACTCTTCTTCTTCCATTAATTTACCTTTTTTTAGATTCGCTTTGCTTTGCTTTACATAGTTTGTATGTGCTTAAGGAATCACACACATCACATGCCCTGAACCACTGTAAGGAGTTAATTATGATCCTCATCAGTAATATTTCATCATATCCCCACAGAACATTGTTATGAAATATTCCTACTTGACTCATAACCATTTTTTTTTTTTTAAGACATCATAGATCCTGGTGGCAAAATATATGCATATTGGTCAAACTAGCCGAAAATTGCTTATTAACTACAACTAGCCTGCATACAACTGCTCCCCTCCTCTGTAATAAATTGGGAAAAGGACATCTGTGTGGTTCTGTCGTTGTTCACGTTCGGGAATATCCCTTCCCTGATTTTTATTTGACTGGATGGGCACACCTGTACACTGTTTAGCTTTTCAACTCTTTACGGTGGCCAATTTACAATTTCAACTTAGTTGATATTACCAAAACACCTTTACACAGGCTAATTATAAGCTTTTTGTTACTCCTCATGACTTAGTGTTGACTGGGAATTGATCATGACAGCTGACTTGATCTAATCAATTTTCTACTAAACATTTTTAACAAACAGGTTTCTCTTTAATTACTTTAATAATTTTCCTTTGATATTTTTAATTTGGAAGAGTAATCATTTTAATCATTGTGTTCTTTGCTACCACCATCATCACCTCCATAAACACCAGGCAAGAGTTCTTTTTTCCACAACTCAGACAGCTTCTGGATATAGGAAATAAAGTTTAGATGACGGTTGACTATTGAAAGCTGTTGCAATACAAGAAAAGACAATACAGTGTTTTACTCTCATAAATCAATTAAATTAAATTCTAAAAATTATTTTACGTTACAGTACTTTTAAACACTAGCTTTTTAAACACTAAATGTCTAACAAAATCTAATGTCATTCGAATACAGTACTTTTGTTTATTAAAAATTTGTTTTCTTCTAGTACCAAGATGGTAATGTTACTTTGTGAATCAGGGAGCTAAATAAAGCAGAGGTATTCTGTTAGCTCAGTACATTTTATGTTGCAGGTCGCAGGAGGTTTCTAAAGAAAGAAATGAAATAATTAGAGAGGGAAAGGTAGCATAAAAAGAAGACATGCTTGTTGGGAAAGTAAACTATTTGCAGCTCTGAAAAACAGCAACAAAGGGGGAAGGTGAAAACCTTATTTATTATCATTAACTTCGACATTTTGTACTTAAAACATACCTCGGATTATTCTTCCTCTTTTTGAGGTCAGTTCTTGTACTTTGGAGGCTTCAATCCTACACATGTTACGGCAGTGTGTTCCAGTTTTATACGTTAAAAGAAAATTCGGTAATAATTAACGAATGGAGATAGGTTAGCCGTGCTACTTACACGAGTACCAATGTTTTGTCTTCTCGACGGATCTGACCAAAATGCCGTTGACATGCCGATTTATATGGTTCAAGCCATTGCTTTACAAATCTGGTATGCAACGTCCTCGAATCACCGCCCAGCCATTCAGAAACCGCCTCATTTTTAGCCTTAGTGCATAAGCCCTTTATAATCAAAACTTAGTTGCCACGGAGCCGCCGGCGAAAACGACAATTTCATATCGTGTACAGCTTCAGTTCGGCTTTGGCAAAATATATAATATAATTGAGCATAAGAACTATTCAAAAAGTGAGCCGTCTCAAGGCTCACTTTTTGAATAGTTGCAAAATTATTGCAGTATTCTTTCTAAGTTTTTGCCGCTGTCGATTAGACTCACGGCGAAAACATTGTAAAAGTTATCGGCATTTCATGGTTTCTTTAAGGTGTCCGCCTACCAGTAAAATACTGTATCGTGCCCAAAAAAACGTATCTCCGCGGAGTCGGTTTGATCACGTACAGCTTATTAAGTTTACTTGGAATATAGGATATCAGTTTGAGTAAATCAAATTCTCGATTTATCCATTTTCGCGAAAAAACCTTTTTTTCATTATCACGTAACTTGTGACGTCCACTTTATATATGTTCTGTTTGAGAGTTAATTTTGTTGTACTTTTTCGTCTGTTATTACATTTGAGGTCAACTGTTATTACATTTGAGGCCAACTGTTATTACATTTGGAGCCAGTGATTACATTTGAGGCCTACTGTAACTACATTTGAAGCCAGTTATTACATTTGAGGCTAATTATTACACTTGTGGCCTCAAAAAGCCCTCTATCCCCCACCGAGATAGAATTACTCCTGACTTTCCCACGAAAAAAAAGAAGAAATTCACCTGTCTACGTAACTGACCAGACTTGAAGCGTTCCCAACCTTTGGTAGCAATGCATTTGCGGACCTGTGTCACCTCATACACTCCAAAGATACAGCTGTCCTGATACTACAATTACCATATTAAACTAGTTCTCTTTGGTGATAATGTAATCTTTTTTTTATAAAAAATTAAGAGTGCTTATGCTGGCGTGCAGAAAATTACGTGACCTTCAAACTAGAAAGCGAAATGGAGATCGATTATCATGGTTTTATAAGAATATCGCATCCCTCATGGATATGCGACGATGAAGAATTACATTATTGAGAGAGCCCCTGCGTGCAGAAATATAGGTGACCTTACCACTTCAAAAAGACATAAAAAGTAAAGCAGAAGTGGTTACTGAAAGAAAAGAGACGACTACACCTTTTTCACATAACCTGTGTGGTGCTAAGGTACATTACATTTCATGACAGATGTCGATTGATAAGACATAACAAAAAAACAAACTTACAAGAAAACAAATACTAAAGGAGCTTAGCGTACGAAGGAAATTGAGTCTCAGGCTTTAGGGGGAAGAAAAAAAAAGAAAATACTCTTTCACTTGTCCTCCATGTTCGATAGGAAAAATTCATCAATCGCAGATGTTTGTTGATAAGACATAAAAAACAACAAAAACAGAACAAAACAAAGAGAAAATAAAGGACCTTTGCGTTACCTTAAGGGGAGCAGAAACGGGACACTCGTGTTGTTGTTTTTTTTTCGGGATAATTAAGCAAGCGATGAAATCCACACAATGGGATATGCACGACAAAATTAATTCAAAATGTCGTATTCTTTGGATCTAGACATTATTAAAAGGATTGAATTAACATATACAAAAAGTTAAGCAACCCTAGAAACTGAATTGCGTTCTCGTTTTTGACTTTAGGTGGTTTCGGTGAGCATAAACGCACGAACTTGCAGAGGGAGTTTAATTCTATTTGTTGCATCACCACTTTTAGTATTTCATCGCGTTTTCTCCCCGCGACCCGTGTAGTAATCGTACGACACAAAGCAGAACTGGAATCGCCTCTTCTCACCAATCCACACTAAACATACCAGAGACACCTGTAAACGAGACAAATAACTGAGCTGTTGATCATGAGTTCATTATCAATATTTTCGAGGGAAGTCTCAGTTCAACTCAAATCACTCATGTAAGAAAAATTCAACAGTGCTACGCGAGCGGATAAATTACCATCTAACGTTTCATGGTTCAGTTAAAAGTTGCATCCTTTCGAATATTCGCTAGTAAGAAAAAATAAATTAAAGAAGCCTTACGCCACCTCCCAACTTTTAGGTGAGAGAAAAACAAAAAGACTCTAAGTGAATGTCATCACCCTTTCAGAAGTATTTTCATTCAGACTNCACAAATGTGCGGATGCAAATGTATTAATTGCCTGGTGGTTAATATATGATGAAAATCTCGGATAGATTGGCAAATAGAGTGGCAAATTAAAGCCAAGCGACGCTTCAAACTTTTCAAGAAAAACGTTGAAATACAAGGTCAAATTTCTTGAAGAGCGCGTACTCTTGTCAGATAAACTAAAATGGAAAATAAAGAGTAGAGCCAGTATGATATCACAGGAAATTGAAGATTTAGAATAGACTCGCAAAGAGGAGAAAAGACGCAGGTTGAAACATGATGTAATCTTGTTTCTTCTACCCTAACATTTTTCATTCTCTTTCCGGCCGGTTAGTCTGCGATAATATCAGAGATAAGGGGTCAATCCTAACCACTCCATTTGGTAGGTCCTTATCCAATTCAGCTGATAAACCATGTTTTTCTTCTTAAGCCAAGAACTGTGCTGAGCTGTACAAATCCGGTAGAAGAGTCAGCGACGTCTACACAATCGACCCTGACGGTTCAGGTGCCTTCGATGTATACTGTGACCAAACAACAACTGGTGGGGGATGGACAGTATTTCAAAGAAGATTCGATGGCTCTGTTGATTTCAACCGCACCTGGGATGACTACAAACATGGCTTTGGCAGTTGCCTCAAAGGAGAGTATTGGCTGGGATTGGACAAGATCCGTCGCCTGACGAGAAATGAAGCAGAAAACAGACTTCGAGTGGACCTTGGAGTGACCGCTAACAAATCCGTTCACGGTGAATACGAGTGGTTTGGATTAAGAGACGAGAAAGCTAAATACCAATTGAGCCTTGGAAATCTATCAGGTGAGTTAACCCTCTTTCTTTTTATTAGTTCATTTTAATTTACCAATTAAAGGAAAAATCAAATCTATCAGCAGCATTAGTATTGTCACCCTGTCCAAAACGGCATTATTATTAGATAAAATAGATAGTCAAAAATAAAGCCGTAAAAATTCAAGTTTTGATGACATTGGAGCCCTTGCCCCAATGATAGTAGTTAGAAATGGCAAAAAGCGGAAGAAGACAGTCATAGCAAAGAAATCCTAAACGAATCTCGTGAGTTTATTGTGCTAAAAACACAGTTGGCCATCTTCTTCGGCTCTCGAAATGAACAGGTCACTCTCCATTCTTAATAAAATGAAATCTCATTGCAATACAATAAATCCTTATTGGCCAAGTTTGTTTGGTTCAGATGGCTGGATATTTGCCGATTTCTTTGTAAGCGCTTTTATATGAACCGAATCTTGAACTCACGCTTCGTCAATACTCTCGTACTTGTTTAATATAATAGGAGGTGGTATTTATTGATTTAATTATTGTTCATTCATATTGCTATTTATTCCCTTTTAGACAACTCCACTGTTAATGATTCTCTCCGCCATCATGTGGGCCAGTTTTTTCACACGTGGGATAAGACTGATTGTGCCTCTACTGATCGCATGAACATTGGTGGAGGTTGGTGGTACATAATCAATAGGTGTGCTGTTTCTGCAAATCTAAACGGTATTTATCGAAAGGATGGAAAGGGAAAATTTCATTGGGGATTCTTAGTTCGTGGTAAGCCTGAACTCAGCACTCCCCAAACATCAGAAATGAAAATCAGACCAGTCGACTTTTCTTAGATTTTTTTCTTCCTAAACTATTTTGGCCACGAATATATTTTGCTAAGAATTTGATTGGGTGGGAAGTCAAAGGGAACAAAGGGGACTAGCTGGTAAGTTATATTGGACCATAACTAATTTTTAAAAGTCCCCTCACCCCCTTTTCTTTGGTCCATTTTTTTTTTCAAGAGGCATCGACGCCTTGTTTTATTAATGTAATCCTTACGAGGCAACTCTTTAGTAAACCTGTTTTGTCAGTCGAATTGCGATCCTGTCTTTGCCTTCAAACCAGCCTAGATTGTCTGAGACGTACAGAAAAACACTTTTATTTCTCTTTATCATTATAAGCTAGCATACCGTGTACCAGAAAGCCAATCGGCGCATAAACCGGTATTCACCAATGTAGTATATCCCAGTCAATATTATTGTGATCGTTTCTAACGCTAATACACGGTATTAAGGTCAAAGTATTTAGATTTTGGATGGGAAAAGTAGAATATCAACAAAGAAATGCACTAGCTTATAATGATGATATATGCATTTTCTGGTTCGTGTTTAGCAAGAATTATTTACCCTTCAGAGTAGCCGGAGACACAAAATCCTGCGTCAAGAGTTCCATTTCTGACCAATTTCCTGTGCATTGGCTGTTTTGTTTTGTTCTGTTGTTGTTGTTG